TTTTACTGGCCAGGCCTGGTGGCACACGCCTTTAATCCCAGCACTCGGGAGGCAGAGACAGGCGGATCTCTGTGAGTTCAAGGCCAGCCTGGTCTCCATAGTGAATCCAGGACAGCTAGGGCTACAGGGAGACCCTGTCTCAAAAGACCCCCCCCAAAAAAAATTTTTACTTATGTGTATAAGTGATCATTCTGCATGATGTAAGTGCACCTGTCGCATGCAGTGCCTGAGGAGGTCAGAAGAAGGCGTTGGATCCCTTGGAACTAGAGTTACCGTCAGTTGTTAGCCGCCATGTGGGTACTGGGAATCAAACCCGAGCAGTCAGTGCTCTTGATCACTTAGCATCTCTCCAGCCCCTAGACTTTCAACTTTTTAATGGCTTTTTAACCTTCCTAGAGTTATAGTGAAGGCCAGATCTCCATCTTCTAACAGTAGAACTGTTAGTTCACAAGAAACATGAGCAGCGCCTATGGCACAAAGTGGTATATTGTTAACAAGGGTTTGTAGTATGAATGTTACACCTGAAGCCTGAACACAGAACACTGCTCAGGTAACCAGCAGAGAAACTGGCCAGGGGTGTGACACTGTGAGGGCAAAGGGGCTACAGAACCAGACCATCTCAGCTTGCTGTTTTTCAGGCCCAAAGGAGATACCACCTGACTGCCACAGTTTGAACACAGCCATGACAGTGGAGGTGCAGGGGATGAGTCCTCCCAGGCAGTGTTACGTAACACTGGAAAGCCATGAGAGACAGGCTCTGGGTTCCAGAAGTATCTTCCAGCACGGCTTCATGGCCACAGTGACTGCCAGTGACATTCCAGGCAGCCCTAAGAAGATACCTGTCCCCACCAATGACCCATGTGGACTAGTTCCATAAACATCCAGTAAATGTCTCTAAGTCATTCCTTCTGTGCTCTCTCTCTCTCTCTCTCTCTCTCTCTCTCTCTCTCTCTTTCTCATCTACCTGTGGTGAAAGGTAGAAGTAGGAATGGCGGAAGAGACTTCAGACTGGTGGGATACAAGAGGGCTTTTCCCAACAAAGCACCCAGTTCCTGCTGTGGACCTAACTGTCTTGCTCAACCAAAGACCAGGGGACCAACTGAAGACCAAAGGAAACCAATGTGAGTCCTGGGAAAGAGGTCAGCAGCCAGTCCACACGATCCAGCGAGACCTTCTCCTAAGTGAGGAGTTGGAACATCTACTTGCTTTCTCTATCCCAGAGTAGGGTATGTGGGAGTCCCTGGGATGAGAGTCCTCACTGGAAGGGCAGATCTACCTCTCCACCCTGGAGTGAGCCTCTCAATAAGGAACAGAATGACAGGGAGTGTGGCATGCACTAGGCTCTGACATCAGTCGGTTTCTCAGGTGACTGAAAGAATGAAAGAGCAAGGGCCAGTGAGATGGCTCAGCAGGTAAAAGTGTTTGCTGGGGCTGGAGAGATGGCTCAGCGGTTAAGAACACTGAATGTTCTTGCAGAAGACCCAGGTTCGAGTTCCAGCACCCACATGGCAGCTAACAACTGTCTGTAACTCCAGTTCCAGGGGATCCGTTAGCCTCTTCTGTCCTTTGTGGACATTGCACGACATGGGTGCACTTACCTACATGCAGGCATAACACTCATACACATAAAATAAAAATAGTAAATTAAAAAAAGTGTTTGCTGCCAGGATTGATGACCTGCATTCAATTCCCAGAGCCCATGTGGTAGAAGGAGAGAACAGACTCCCACAAGTTGTCCTCTGACCTCCACATGTACACCATGACCCGTGTGCTCACAGACATATACTCTAAATAAATTAAAATAAGTAAGTAAAATTGAATTTTAAAAACTTTTAAGTGAATTGGGGCTGGAGAGATGACTCAGCAGTCAAGAACACTGGTTGTTCTTGCAGAAGACCCAGGTTCGAATCCCAGCACCCACATGGCAGCTAACAACTGTCTATAACTCTAGTCCTAGGGGATCCAACAGCCTCTTCTGACCTCCGAGGGCATTGCATGACATGGGTGCAGTTACCTACATGCAGGCAATATACACATACACATAAAAATAATAAATAAAATAAAATAAAAACTTTTAAGTGAATAAGTGGGAAAAAGAATGATTAGCTCACCAAACACAGGCTCCAGGGGCCTTGGCAAAGTCACTGAATCTCTCTGAACCTTGGTTCCCTTGCTAGGCTATTGTGTTTAATAGAGTGATAGATTTAAGCTGGGCCTGGGAGCATAGGCCTGTCATCCCACTTCCTTGGGAGGCTCAGGCAAGAGGATTACAAGTTCAAAGCCAGCCTGGTCAACTTAGTGAGACACTGTCCCAAAATAAAAAGTAAAGCAAAGCTCAGTGGGGGCAGAGGAAAGGGCTCAGTTGGTAAAGCACCTGACACACAAGCATGAGGACCTGAGTTCAGTACTCCCAAATCCATGTAAAAGCCAGGCATGGTGATGAGATCATCTAACCAAGCATTGGGAAGACAGAAAGATGGGTCCTGGGGGCTTGCTGGCCATCCAGCCTAGCTGGGTTCCAGATCCAGGCCAAGTGAGAGATCCTGTCTCCAAATGAAAAACAAGGTGGGCAACACTGAGGAATGATAGTCAAGGTTAATCTCTGGCATACCCATAAACATGTACACACACACACACACACACACACACACACACACACACACACTAGCTCAGAGGTACAACACTTGTCTAGCATGTACAAGGCCCTAAATTCCAACCCAATGCTAGAAAAAAAAATGAATATGTTAAAAGATTTTCTAAAATTTCAGATGGATGTTTCATACTTGTTTTTTAAAAATATTTCATTATTATTATTATTTTTTTACAGAGCATAGGGTAGGGGCTTATTTACAAAAGAGTTGGCACCGCACATTTACAGCCACACTGTAAAGTCCACATTCAAATACAGATCCTTCCTATGACCTCCCAACAGCCACGCAAAATGGTGAGAGAGATGTCTCTTGGTGTCCTTGGTATATATATATATATCTCCTCTGCCCCTGCCCCCACATGCAGCTAAGGTCGACTGATTGGGTGGGAGGGGTAACTGACTCCCTCCTCGACTCCCTGATGAGCATGGGAAGGAGGTGTGGCTATAGCTTGCTGGCATAGTGATCGGAGGACACTTCCAGTTAACATACCACCCCTTTCTCTGGCTCTTACATTCTTTCCTCCAACTTCTTCAGCAAAAGTCCCTGAGCCTTGGAGGGGGTGGTAGGTGTGGGATGATCTTCCTCCCATTGTGACAAGGCGCTGAACTTTGGGTCTCTGCATCATCTGTTTTCCATGGGCTGTGGGCCAGTTTCAGTGAGATTCCATCGACACCACATGGAGGCTGGATCCAGGTGCTCTCGGGCTGTCTGCTGTGTTCTCAGCATCTAAGCCAGACAGAGGCCAGAACAGTCATTCTCAGGCTGTCTGCTAAGGTCTCAGATGTTTCATATTTGTAACATGTTATTATGTACAGTGACAATGGAGCCAAATGCCAAGCTATAATCTTGACCCTGCCACGTGCTAGGAAACCTCTGTGCCTCAGTTTCTCATCTGGACGAGCAAGGAAAATAGTAAAATAGCTATCTCCTCAGGCAAGGGGCAGGATTATTTATTCCACAAAATACTAAACGTTGGCAAAGGGAAAGCGTTATGCATTAGCTATTATTTTTCATTCACCTCTAATTTTTTTTATTATTAAGCTCATGACAGAGGAATCTTCAGGTCGGAAGCTCACTGCCACCTTTGTCTGTCCTCGCTGCTCTCCTAACTTTGATAGAGGCTTTTCTTTGCTAGATGGTGCCGGGCAGATCAGGAAGACCCTGTAGCCACTGAAAGCAGCTCTGGACATGTCACAGATATGACCTGCTTCTGGGTTTTGCAACAGTGAGACAGTCATTCTTAGACATCTGTGCACAGGTCTTGAGCCAGCCAAAGGACAACGGCACATGATGCAGTGGGAAGAAGTGCTTGAAGCTGGGAGTCAGGAGACCTCAGTTCTGCTCTTGCTTTGTCATGGGAAGTGGGGAGGACTCGAAACCCAGCAACCCGAACACAAATCATATACTCAGTGGTGTCTATTCCAAGCCAGGATCTGAGCTGGGCATGGTGGAACACATCTTTGATCCCAACACTCAGGAGGCAGAGGCAGGTGAGCTCTGTGAGTTCAAGGCCAGCCTGGTCTACATAGTGAATTCCAGGCTAGCTGGGGCTACAGGGAGACCGTGTCTCAAAAAAAAAAAAAAAAAAAAATCAAGGGCTGGAAAGATGGCTCAGCAGTTAAGAAGACTGGTTGCTCTTGCAGAGGACCTGGGTTTGGTTCCCAGCACCCACATGGCAGCTAATAATCATCCAAAACTCCAATTCTAGGGGATCCAATACCCTCTTCTGGCCTCCATTACAGAATACGGTATACTTACATATATGCAGGTAAAACATTCATACACACAAAATAAAAAAAAAAATTAAGAAAAAATTTAAACCAAGCCATGATCTGTTGCTATTAACAGAGGGGTATCCTGCTGTCTAAGGGCTCAGAAGGAGGCCTCTGGACAGAGCAGTGATGTCTGAGCTGAATCATCAAACATGAGTCAGTTTCCAGGTGAGATGGAGCCAGAAAATGATATGGACAGGGTACAGCCTGTTCAAAAGCAGGCAGGAGAGCCCAGCATGATTCAGGAACTACAAGTTATTTATTGTAGCGAACACTCAGGGTACGTATGTGGGGCGGAGTGTTTAGGATGGGTGACAGTTGTGGGGTTTAGTCACTAACGCTGGGTTATGACATTTCACGAGACAGGTACCCTCTGTCTTTGGCACCCTCATCAGTAAAATTCATTTTTACTTTGAATATTTTCTGTACTGATTAGGATCTGCTAATGCCCCTGCCTTCAGACTGTCCACAGAGAGAGCTGCAAATCCTAAAAATGCCAAGTGTTGGCAACCATTCTCAGATTTCCGGCTGCTGAGGCCTCTTGCTTGTTTTTTAAGATGTGAGGGTTGAACCCAAGGCCTCATACAATGCAAGGCAAGTTCTTCACCAAAGATCTGTCTCCAACCCTTCCTGTACTTTTTTATTTTAAACAAGACCCTCTTGGTTTTCTGGCAGGCTTTGGATTTGTGATTCTCCTGCCTCTACTTCCTGAGTAGCTGGGATTATAAACCTCCACCACCAGGCCCGGTGTGAGAGCTTATAAACAAATCACAGTTTGCTGCCCTTCACCCCTCACCACAGCCAAAGTCGGTAGGGCTGGAACAAGTCCCCCAAATTTGCATTTTTAACAAGTTCCAGCTGCTGCCACTGCTCCAGCCCTGGGACCTCCATCACAGCATAACTGGGCCCAAAGAACAAAGAAGCTTTGAGGACTCTGACCACAGAGGTCCCCAGAGATCCCACACAGAGTAGAGCCCAAAGATCTTGTAGGAACTGTTCCCTAGGACCCCACAGGTGGGCAGGTATAGAATGGAATGGGCCGCTGTCTACCCGTCCCCAGCTTTGAAAAACTCCCCCACCCCAACCACAGTTCAGCTTTTTTTGGTTTAAATTGACTCAGAATTCCCCAGCAAGTTTTCACTGGAGTTAGCTGGTCAGAGACCAGCATTAAAAACTAACACCCCCACCCCCACCCCACCCGGGTGAGACCTTCCCCCAGGCCAAAGAGCAGGGAGGAAGTCGGTGGGCTGATGCACAGATTGAGCTCACTGTTGCTTCTCAGGCTCACATTGACCAGCAATTATTTCTTGTAAATTGCTTTCCAGGTTATGTTCAGAATATGTGTGCATGTGACTGCCTGAGAACAAACACTCAGCTGACACAGGGTGGGGGTAGCTAGATGAGGAGTGGGCTATAGATGACAGGGAGCCTTAGTCCACATCGCCAGTCAAAAT